AAAAAAAAAAAAAGACATTAAACAACAGTGTCATGTCAGATCTTTCTCTCTCTATATCAGTTCTGCTCAAAAGTGCGCTGGAGAAGATGAAGTAAGTGGCTTTACCTTGTTCTGCTTGAGTGCGCTCTTCTCCTTCATGTGTGGACAGTCTTTCCCCGTCAGCACTGCTTTAATGTCCGACACGGGAACTGTGGGTCAATGACAGTGAGTCTGAATACACTGTGCAACACGTGATGTGAATAATATTCAGTGGTTTTATGTCACGTAAGTGCGCTCACTCTTATCGGTGAGCAGTTCAAACGGCACTTCACCCTGCGGAGACTCGTCCAGATCTCCGTAGTGCAGGACCTTGTGATTTAACGACAGACGGCAGAACCAGAACTTCTCTGTGAGAGGAACCAAAGATCATTAGAAGAGGAAACTCACATTACAGAAGAATAGCGCAGAAGCGGCTGTCATGGGCAGATGTGAGCTTTCGGCACCTTGTCTCCGTCTGTTGCCGAGTTTGCGAAAGCAACTTCCCTCACACAGACGATTGAGTCGCTGCTGTTTGATCAGCTCCAGAATCTCTGGCTGGATCCGCTCACGCAGCTCACTGACAATCAAGAGGAAACACACTTGAGACCAGCTGATCCTCAAACTCAGATAAACTCAAATGAGCATTTGGATTGGTTGGTCGCTCCTCCTCAGTACTTTTGCCTTGTTTTCCAGTGCAGGTGTCTAAAGATTCTTAAATCAAGATCCATTTACCCGAGAAGCAAAATGACAGAAGATAATAAGTCTTGTTTTTTGCTAAACTGGTCAAAATGAAGTGAGTTTTTTATTAAATCAAGAACAAATATCTGCCAGTGGTCTCAGAAAAATAACCTTAATTCAGTTAAGTAATTTTCATAACCCACTAACAGATATTTGTTCTTGTTTTAAGAATAACCTCACTTCATTTTGTTCAATTTCTCAGAAAACAAGACTCAAGACTGTTCATCATTTTGCATCTCTAATATCTTGATTTAAGCAGTGTTGGAAAGTTACATTGGAAATGTAATCTGTTACAGATTACAAGTTACCCTATTTAAAATGTAATACATAGTGTAACTATTTCAATTACTTCATTAATGTAACTGATTACATTTGATTAATTTTTGATTACTTTTCTAAATTTCTAACAAATGTTTTCAACTGTTAATCATTTTCAAATATTTAAACCAGGCAGGGTTAACCTTGCAGTAACACTCAACACTAAACTCAAGATTATAGCATTTTAATTTTAAAGCACAGCCACCACAAAATCAGACTTATCGCCTCTTTTTACTTTCAAATCGTTATGATTTTTGATTTTAAAATTTTCAGCACTGAAACACATTTTTATCACTCGCCATGGTGGCAGCTCTTAAGACAGGTTGTAGCCTAAAGCTTTCAGCAGCAATGTGGATTGATGTAATTGGCAAATGTGGTGCGCTGCAAATTCAAACAAGAGAACCAATCAGAAGCATCAGAACAGCATTGCTTTACTAAACAGCCTTTAAATGGCTGGAGGCATCGTGCACATCAAAAACAGGCAAAGCAACAAATGAATATTATTCAACATATCCTAGCTTTTTACAGAAAATATTCAGATGTAACACCCTTTGTAATCGTTACCATTTTCATAAGTAACAGTAATTTAATTACACATTTTTTTCTCAGTAACTGTTACTCCCCAACACTGGATTTAAGGATGTTTAGGTATTTGAATTGGAAAACAAAACCACTGAGAATGAACATCATTTTTGTAGTGCATGCAAGATTTCATGCCATGACTATGAGTTTAATACTTTCTGCTCTGATTTAAAACCTTTTAAGGCCTTAAATTGTGGAAGGGTAGACCTTTTTAAGACCCATAGAAACCCTGTAATGAGAAACTATGCTTCTAATCACAGGTTGAGAGTTGTAGGTCCAACCCCACATCGCTCCATTTCATGCTTACTTTTAAAATCATAAAGACCTATAATTTGGTTTAATTTCCTCAATGCATTAGCGGTTTATAACTCAGGCATGTGATCAGCTAGAGACAAAAAGGAAGGAAAATCTGACCATGCCCCAAGTCACGCCCACAAGCCACGCCCCCAGCACTTATTATTAAAAATATATATTTTAGCACATTAAAAGATATCTTATATATTACATAGATATCTTATATTGTAATGATACATGCTATTGTCCTGTAATAAAATAAAAAGCAGCATTTAATGATCATGATTACTATAATATATTCTAGTACTTTATTATATTATATTATATTGTTAAGTATATAGAATTGATATTATTATTAAAGTACCTGCCAAAAGTTTGGAAACATTATAATTTTTTTTTACATAAATATCTTCTGCTCATCAAGGCTGAATTTATTTGATCAAAATAAAGTAAAAAAAAAACAGCAATATTGTGAAATATTATTACAAATTTTTAAAAAAAGTTTTCAATTTTAATATATTATAAAATGTAATGTTATTCCTGTGATTAGAATTTTATAAAGTTTAATGAACAGCATTTATTTGCATTTATCAAATATATTAATTACATTTGTTAAATTTGTTAAT